CCATCCTCAAGTACATCATCGCCAACTACAAGGTCGGAGACAACCCCACCGCCATCAACGCCCGCCTCAAGACCGCCCTGAGAGCCGGAGTCAAGGCTGAAACCCTGAAACAGTCCAAGGGAACTGGCGCCGCGGGATCTTTCCGCCTGGGAGAGAAATCCGTGGAGAAGAAGAAGCCTAAGAAGGACAAGAAACCCAAGGACAAGAAGAAATCCCCCAAGAAAACCGTCAAGCCCAAGAAAGCTCCTGGTACCAAGAAGACACCAACCAAATCCAAGAAGACTGGTGACGTCAAGAAAGTTACCAAAAAGGCCACCGGTGCCAAGACGAAAAAGGCCACCACCAAGAGCCCGGGAAAGAAAAACTCTCCTGCCAAGAAATCGACAGCTGCCAAGAAAGTGGCCAAGAAAGCCGCACCCAAAACCACCAAGCCCAAGAAAGCTGCTGCTACCAAGAAGTAAATTTACTTCTCAGCTCTTCTTCCGCACCAGCGCCATTCGGTGCTAACACAAGGTCCTTTTCAGGACCAAACCCCACTGATCCAGATGATTGGGATCTCAAGCCTTGAGTTAAAACCAAAACGTCCGTTCCTTTCTTCTTTCATTTTCTTTTCTTGGTTGAAACCAAAGCTGTTCGTTTCTCCCCACCTTTTGTTCAAGTTGAAACCCAGACTTTTTCTTGCTGTACTCTGGACTGAAATCCAGACTTCTGTATATCAGCTGTTCTGAATTGAAACCACCGTATTCGTTTCTCAATGTTATGTTCTGTTGGCTCGCTTTTTTTGGAGGGGGGGGGGGGGGTGTTCTGTTCATGGTTTTTTTTACGCACTACCATTTTCTTCCTTTTTTTATACAGTTGCATTTTTCTGTTTGCTCATTTCTGTACGGACTGGCCAGTTCTCATCCTTGTTTGTGGGTGGTTGGCGGGTGTTCTGGTTTGCTTCTTCTTTCCTATCAAACATCTATCGTCCTTATCTTTCCCTTTTTTGTTTGTTACTCCCTAGGAACACCTTGTCTTCGCCACTTATACCTGTATGATCTTATTGTGTTGCAAGTGCCGTAAAACACTTACTGAAACTAAAACTCAATCCTTGTTTTCATCAAGCTAACACTAACAGTACTAAAATATTTTCCGTCCAACCATATGCCCTTTTTCTGAATTCAAGACTTGTGGGTGGTTGGCGGGTGCTCTGGTGTGGTTTGCTCCTTCTTTCCTATCAATCATCTATCGCACTTATTTCTCCTTTTTGTGCTTGTTACTCTTGTAACAATAATCATCTTTAATCTTCGGCACTCATATGACCTCATTTTGTTGCAAGTGCCGCAGAAGTCTTACTTTAAAAAAAAATTAAAAAATTCAAGACTTGTTCAACCGCATGTGCCTCTCTCTACCCCTACATCCTTCTTTTTTTTTCCATCCCTTTTCCTCTTTTCAAACATTCAATGCAGAGTCTGCTGACCTTCAAAGTAAAAAAACAAAAACAAACCCCCCCCCCCAAAAAAAAAAAAAAAAAAACCCGCTGTGCGTTTGTATGCCAGAGCCTGTCCCAGTCCAATGGCAATTTATGACCTACAACTTTGCCTTGTTTCCCTCTCGTTTCCCCCCGCCTCGGTGTCCTCAACACTTTACTTTGTAACAATGAAGTCTGCAGCATTTTCATGGTTTCTGCGCACACTGCCCCCCAGTGAGTTTTAAATATTATGTCGAAGCTCTCTCTCTTTTCTCTCTGTCTCTGTCTGTCTCTGTCTCTCTGTCTCCCCCTCTCTCTCTTTCTCTCTCTCTCTTTCTCTCTCTCTCTCTCTCTCTCTCTCTCTCTCTCTCTCTCTCTCTCTCTCTTTCCCCCACTCCCCATCAGGGCAGTGCTACTGACTGAAGTTGTCATAAGGTAGGCCATCCCCAAAAGTTCTTATGCACAGCAGAATTGTTTTTTTTTCCTAAAAGGGCTAGTTTATCAATGTCATGCTCATACTGTGCCGGAACAACATCTGCTGCTTTTTATTTCCTCATCCTTACCATAGTATAGATTTTCCCCTCTACTTCTTTTGCGTGTTTGTCTTTCTTGTGAACTATTTCCCCGGGTGCCTTGAATTGACAGTCGAAGCAGGCTTTGTGCTGTGTTGAGGCGAGAGAGGTGAGCAGAGTAGGCCTGAAATTCCCCGTTTCTCTGTACATCCACTTCTTGGCGCTAACTTAACTTTTATGCAGTCGAGAGCTCCGTAAAAGCTTACTTAAAAAAACATCTCTCCCCCCCCCCCTCTCTCTCTCTCTCTCTCTCTCTCTCTCTCTCTCTCTCTCTCTCTCTCTCTCTCCCTCTCTCTCTCTCTCTTTCTCTTGTACAAGTGAGACCATAAGTGAATGTGAGTAAAATTTAGGGAAAAAAATGAATGAAATGGACTTGATGATCACTTGTTAAAATAAATATTTAAAAAAATCTTTTGCTGTGGCTCAGTCAAACAGCATGTCTAGATTTAGCACCGCTGACCTCAGCAAATCGCCCATATCGGCCCTCTGGAATCAGGAATGTGACTGAGAAGTGGCTAGAAACTTCAGCTACAACCCCAGCACACCTTTACAGGCTGGCTGAACGAAAAAGAATAACTGTCGATGTTGTTGAAATGAGAGAATATAACGTAGTAAAACAACCGTAACTACCCACCAATAAGGCCGGCGTAATATTCTGCCTCATTAATTGCGGAACAGATGCCAAAAAGCATAAAACAGACAGACAAGAACAACCCCCCCCCCCCCCAAAAAAAAACTTTAAAAAATCCCCAAAAAAATTAAAACAAGCAAACCCCCCCCCCAAAAAAAAAAAACCCCACAACAACAAACAAACAGACAATAGTTTCTAAACAACAGTCAGCATTTATGGCGCATCGCACCTACATGACTCACAACAGCCCTAAGTTGATTGTGTAATTTGCGTCATACTGCTTGTGAAAGGGGGGGGGGGGGTGGGGAAAACGGAATGCACTTTGGTGTTGACGTAAATTCAGTCAGTCAGTGACATAGTATTATCATATAGCGTGACCGTGGTCAAGCACATCGTCACATCGCTCCCCATGGGGGTGGCGACTCAGAGGCGAGACTTTAAAAAAAATTGAATTAGCTAAGTAGAGGAGGCATACCCGCAAAGCTGAACAAATGGAAGTGTATGTCTTCTCCATGACTATGACTATGAGAGGAAATTCCCTGTAAACCGATCTATTAAAACTAAACATAAAACGCAAGCCCGTAAAACAGTGGCACATTTTGAGACAAGACAAGAAAGACAAAGCGTTTAGATCTACATCAGATTCCGAAGAAAAAGACAATTTTTTTCAGGATGGTGGGCGACATTAATTTTGCGACACTCAATACCAAAACTGTTATAGTAGGGCGCAGAGAATCGTTGGGAGACGTAGGGTCCACTTTCGGGACGTATAGGTAGGACAACGGACTGCTGGTTACATAATAATATATATATATATATATACCGCCCTCTAACCGCCCGCTCCCCTTGGATTGGGAGAAAACCTGCTAGGCCTAAACAGATAACATTTTATATCATAAACGTAACGATTGAAATGAGAAATCTGCAAGCACTCTCAAGGTTGTGAGAAAAGTAT